AAAGAAAGAAAGAAAGAAAGAAAGAAAGAAAGAAAGAAAGAAAGAAAGAAAGAAAAAACAGCAGAGCAATTTAGGGCTAGAAGTCTACTCAGAGGTCATCTAGTCCAACTCCCTGCTGCAGCAGGAAACCTTACATTGTCTGGATTATTTTGGTGCCTCTAACAGAGAAAAAAATTGCCAGAAAGAAGAAGGAGTTTACTAGGACAAGGCTGCTATGCAGAGGAAGGCAGAGATAGTCCTTGACTTATGATTACAATTGAGCCCCAAATTTTGGTTGCTAAGCAAGAGCGTTGTCAACTGAGCTTCACCACATTTTATCTAATTCATGACATCTCCTGGTGAATGATATCAAGTTGGCCATGCCAATCCAGTCACATGACCACTAAGCCACACCCACAAAATAGACCACACCCACATAATAGGTAGTAAAAAAGTTTGAAATCCACCCCTGGAACATACAGTATGATGTCATCCCAATACGATTTAGAGGTCACTATTGGTAAGGCTATTTTTGTAACTAAAATGGCCATTCTTGAGGCCATATAATATGTCAACAACATAATACGTCAATTTCACAAATTTTAATAATATCAGGGTAATACTTACACTATTAGGAGAAGTGGATACATATTTCGATCAGAGAAATCCTTTGGAAATGTTAACTGTAAAGGAAGTTCTTTTAAGAAAAGAGCAAAACATTAAAGGCTGGTAGTTTGAAAGATGAATTAAAAATACTATTTTAAAATATATATTGCCTTTTCCAAAATTTTCTAGTATGTTTACCATAGTCATCAATGTGAAGCATTCTAGTTTCTGTTCGTAGTGTTTTTCTCATTGAAATTGCTTCTTTTAAAACCGAGTTACTTTCTAAAATATAAAACTCTGTAAAATAAAAAGGCAAAGAAAGGAATCAATGTACATGCATGCTTAATTAGAGGGAAAATTTAAAATACAATTTATATGACAGATGCAGTCCATATTTTTAAAGACCAATTTTTGGAAAGCCATCTCTAAAGAGTAAAATAAATATGCCTATACTGCATATGCATACATATAGAGAGATACATTTCACTCATATTTTCCATTAATACCTATTAAGTCTTATTTCAATTAAAAAGAACTATAACACTTGGAGAATGTTAATCCAAAACCTCATATAATATTACAGATGTGACCCAACTAGACATTAATTACTGAGCCTTTGTGACCAGATTCCTTGGCAGCTACAGCTGGAGTTTCAGCCTGCATTTCCAATTGGAAATAGAAGTCACTAAACCAAAAGATGCATGGCCTAACTATATGGAGTCAGCATTTTCACCTGTGTTTGATTTTGCTATGCTCTGCTAAATGCAAGGATAATCTTCATATGTTCAATCAATGATCAGTCTGATAAATGGCACCTAATGTATACAGTACATTTTATCGGTCTTTGGCTTTGTATATATTATCTTTTTAAAAAAGTTTTTATTTTTTAAACAAACATAAACAAACAAAACACGTAACATAAAAGACATCTTCCATTCCGTAAAATCTGTTGATTGGTTACAAGGTTTTTATGCATCCTTTCCATAGTCATCCCTTAAATTTTATATAAAGTCACATATTGTCAATCAAGTATATTTTTATACATTATTATTATATTATATCTCTAATATCATATCAATTTACTCATTTCAGCACATTCCATTGCGCATATCATCAATCTAATATATATGTATACAATTATTGTAATTATTAAACATTCATTGAATATAGCTATTATTACATCCTTTTTATGTGAAGCATACTAAGTTTAAATTAAATTTATATTATGGCATTTCATTACATCATCCTGGACTCAACCAATGGTGTTACATCTTTGTATTCTGTTCTATATAGAATTGTTTAACTTTTATATATATATAAAGCTTTTCCACATCATCTCCATGGTCCTCATTTACAGCTTATATAAAATTCCATATATCAATCTAGTATATATAAACACATTATTATCATTACTAATCATTTATTTGACAGTAACTATTATTACTTTGTCTTAAACACAATACTCAAAGTTTAACTACGTTTGATTTGATTTTATTGTGACATTTCATTTCATCATCCTGTATCCTTCTAGTAGTAGTGCAGTCCAATATCTCTTGCTATTTGTAGACTCTGTGTTCTAATGTTTTCTGGATACGTCTTACGTGAACTTCTCTTTGCAACTTGTTATTCATTGCATATTTTATAGAGAGTCGAAACCCTCCATCTGTTCCTTTCATCAGCTTGCCTTTCATTGTCATTGGTGCTGCTACCAAAGATACTCTCATTGTTTCTGCCAAGTTTTCTCCCCTTTCTTCATCTATATTTTGAATCATGAAATAGAGATCCAGTTTGTCTACCTCTCCTTTCAGTATTCTATACATATTTCCCTCCACTCTCGATTTGCTGTCAGTATCAACAATTTTCTTATCACTTTGTTCATATTTTTCTGCAATTTTTTGAGCTTTATCTTCAAGTTTCATTGTTTCATCAATATTCTCAACTGTTCCCTCCATTTTTTCTGTTCTTTGTTCTATAATCCCCAGATTCTTTTCAATTCTTTCTGTGCTTATTAGGACTTTTGAATTTCTAGCATAATTCTTTGCAAAGTTATTTCCTTTTCTTCTTCATATTGCGCCATTTTTCCAAGTTGTAAACACTGCCACTAGGACATCCAAGACTTTTTGCTAGATTTCAAATAAATTCAGTGTACTCTTTCAAGTCAGGGCTTTCTCTTTACTTCAGAAGAGCACCTGTATAAACAAGACATGATTTTCTCTCTATCCCTTTCGGTAAGCAAAGCCAATGGCCTTGAAATTAGCAGATGTAACCAGGCCTCCAGCCTCTAGATGGCAGTGTTACTTCTTTTTCCTGTGCTTTTAGCTCTCTCTTTAAACTTTCTTTGAGTTAAAAATATATGGTTAAAAAGGATAAACCTGCCATGCATTGAAGAAAAGATAAGAAAGGAATCCTTAATCCACAAATACAAAAAATGAGAAAAAATAGAAGAAGGGGAAAAGAGACTAGTCCAATTTAAAAAGTAAGAGGTATTTGTAAAAAAAAATCATCCATAAAAAGGAAACAAAATTAAAGAAAAAAGATAGCACAATAGTTTTAATTCAGGCTAATCCACCGCTTACTCACTTCTGTCTTCAATTTTAACTTTACTCTAAGTCTTTTGGGTATTCTCTTCTCTAATAGTAAAATTTATCTCACCAATTTCAACACACTCTCTCTCCTGCTCAGCTTCCATTCAGGGATCTGTCTCAACCTTATGCATCTTAAAATGGCTGCTTCTCTTGTAGAGAGCAAAAAGAGCTTTCTCCTGGATCGATCAGGGACTTTGCGATGTCCTTGAGATCAGCAGGACATGCTTTTCTCTATCACTGTCTCTACAGGATGGTTTGGGTCCAAAAGGACCATCCAGCAACAGAGATATCAACAGCAATCCTGGAGCTCCAAGATTGCATGTTGTGCTGTAGCGACATCAGCCCCGCGTCTCTCAGCTTTGTATATATTATCTTAAAGGTGAACTCAGCAGAACATGTTTTACTCCATACTGCACCCAAATAATGTATATATATTTATTTCCCCACATATGCAATTTGGTTTTTACATAAAGGAATCAGGTACAATGGAAGTTATTTATTAGAAAAAAGTATGTTCCAAGTATAAAAACAAAGTCAGCAACATTTTATTTTTGGACACACTAGGGTAATACTAGTCAAAATGAAGTTAAGATCACAACATTTTTCCTAAGAGGAGATATTTTGAAAAAAATACTAATATAGAAAAGTTACTTATATAGAAAACCTATATGTATTTGTGTATACTATACTGCATATGTGTTTTATTTGTATGTGTGCACATGATTGTGTTGAGTTGCTGAAACAGAAAGATTTAAGCACACATAATATTTGTATCATTAAAAAAGGATCAATTAGATAACAGGGACCCAGAAACAATTCCTTAATCCAGACTAATTGTATTAAGCTTTAAAGTATTTTAAAGCATATATTAGAAGTACTGTAATAGGAACTCAATTTGCATAGTTATTTAAAGAGATTGTACCACTGTGCCACCTAATTATTGTAAGCATTAATGGGGAATAAAGAGTATGTAATAATGAAAGATCAGTCTGAAAAATCCCTGATAAATTATAGCAACTGTATTAATTTCACTCTGTCCTTATTGCTTATGTGCATGTTTATTCCTAGGTTGCAATTAAGATGAGATTTAGAAATTAATTTCCTGAATGTCTCAATTGAAAGAGAGAAAACCCACAAGAAAATCCTCAATGAACTGGTATAACTTACTTTCAGGATTAACTGTGCTGTGCAGGCTGACAATTGGAATACCAGGACCTGTAAAACACCGAAGGACAGGCACACAGAGGAAGTAAATAAAACAAACTAGCTATGGATTTCTCAATTTAAGAAAAACTAAAGGAAAACAAAAATTATTCTAAGTCACAGTTTTCAAAACTACTGCAGCATATGCTTTAATACTTAGCATACGAAGGGTCCCATTAATGCCAAGGCAATAGCATAGTCTTCTGGGAAATAATAAATGTGTGATTGTTATTATCTTCATCATTTCAATTTTACAGCTGAGAAATTGACACATAGAGCGATTAATAGCCTGATTATATAAAGCACAGAGTACCTGCAGCTACTATTAAATCAAAGAGAGAACAGGGAGCATTCAGACTCTGCAAAGTCATTTGGAGGCCATTAGAAAACTGAATGGAAATCTCAGAAGAAACATATCCAAACATCATGTAGCTTTGATTCAATGTACAGATAAGAGTGCCCCGGTGCAGAGGGCACCTGATTTCATAGAATAATAGATATGGAAGGGACTTTTCAGGATGTCAAACCTGTCCCTTCCCTGCTCAATGCAGGAATTCAAATTAAAACATTCTTGCTTCCACTTAAACACTTGTATTCTTTCTCCTCCTCTTCCTCCTCTTATGGTATTGCAATCTGCAATGTTCACAATACAGGATGCCTTTAGAAATGTTTCCCTTTACAACTGGACTGTGAAATGACTGTAGCTGTATGTATGTATGTATGTATGTATGTATGTATGTATGTATGTATGTATGTATGTATGTATGTAAAACAAACAAACAAACAAACAATTCATCAAACATCTGTG